GTCCGCGGCCGCGAGCCCCTCCGCGCCGCCCGCCTCTGGCAGGTCTGGCGCCGCCCCCATCGCATCCAGCAGCGAGGACAGCTGCGCGCCCGCCGTCTCCAGGCATTCACGCGCCTCCCCGTCAAGCGGCGCCGCCGCCGCCGCCGGCGCGGTGGCGGGCGACGCCGCGGCCCAGGGGTCCCCGCCGCCGCCACTGGCCTCGTCCCCGCCCGCGTCCCCAGCTGGGTATTGACCGGCCCACTCCTCCTGCTCCTCATCCTCCTCCTCGCCGGGCTCCGCCTCGTGGGCTAGCGACTCGTCGATGATGGGGACGGCTGCGGCAGATCACGTAGAGGGGCACCGGCGGCAGGGCGTGAGGGGCCTGCCGCTCGGCTCTCGCGCGGGGCGGCCTTGCGGGCACGCAGCCCGCGTGGCCCCTGACAAGCCTGCCCGGCCCACGCGGCCTTGCAAACGAGCTCAGGTCACGTTTGCTTCGCTGCCTCCGAAGCTCGCGCCAACGCGCCCGGCCAAGGTCATGCCGGTGCCCCCCGGCCCCAGCCCGCATTGCCGCGCCGCAGCGCCCGCTAAACCCCCCCTCCCCCCCGCACACACACACCCCAGCGTGCACCCCGCGCGGGCCGCCGCTCACCCATGCTGTACATGACGCCCTGCTGCCGCACCATGGTGAAGCGCAGCTGCGCATCCGCCAGCTCCCGCATGTCCATGGTCTGGGCCAGGGCGCGCACCGTGCTCTGCTTCATCTGCATGAGGCTGCCAGGGCTCAGGCCTATTAGGGGTGGGGGGGTGGCAACAGGAGCGCAACAGGTGTGGGGAGGGCTGTGCGGGATGGTGGATCCGTGAGGAGTGGGGTCTGCGCGACTGCTAGGCACTCAGCCGCGGCGGCCGGCCTGCTGGCGGCGGGGCGCCAGCCTCGGCGGCGCCAGCATGCTGAGGCGCCCCCCCTGCGCTCCCCTTCCCCCCTTCGTGCACAGCCCCAATACACCCACAAAATTGCGCTCATGCGCGCCCCCGCACGCACAAGGCGACGACCCGCACCTGCACGGTCAGCCACCAGGATCATGCTCAGCCGCTGGCGCCCCACATCGCCCGAGCTGGCAGGCGGCTGCTGCGTTTCCGGGGGAGATGGGAAAAAAAGCGACCTGGAGGCGCGCGCGCCCGGGGCGGCACGAGGGGCGGGGGCAGGGAGGGTCAGCACGCGCATGGGGGGCCGTCGTCACGCATGCAAGCACGCATGCATGCATGACGAAGACAGGTGGCGTAGTGGCTGTGGGGCCCTGGAGCCATGGCATGCGCGCAGGGTGCAGGAGGCTTTCTGGCATGCCCATGCTTTTGCCCTGGGATATGAAGACTCACCATGCAAGCTTGCATTTGGCAAAGAAGAGGGTCACCGGGTTGCGCTTGGCCTGCCCGCCTGCAACCAGTGCCGCGGCCTGCCGGGGCATGATGGCCACCGAGGCAGTCACCGATGGGGGTGCGTCGTCCGCCCACCCCTGCGGCGCCAGCCGCGGCGCGTCCTGCGCGCCGCCGTTGGCAGGCGGCGCCGCGGGGGCGCCAGTGGCGGCTGAAGCACGAATGGTGGCCGCATCCGCCAGCAGAACGGCATCGGCGCCGTCGTCCCAATCGTGCGGCTCACTTGGGGCGTCCGCGCCGCCCGGCTGGCCCTTGTCATCAAGCTGCTGCTGCAGGCGCCGCCGCGAGGCGGCGCCGGCGCCCTCTTCCGCATGGCACACCAAGCGGGCGGTTCCCCGTTTCAGGCGGTGGGACTGCATTGGCTTTGCAACCGCCCCTGCACTGCCATGGACACGACTAGATGATCCGTGCCGACCATTGAAAATGAACGTTTGTGGCAGCATCATATCGGCCCAGCCCTTTGCACTCGTTCGTTGGCGGGCAACCTGAGCTGCAGATCGCAGGTTTTGTCCACCAGACACCACCTATGTCCGAAAAGCGTGCTGATAATCAGTATGCTGCCCTGCTTGGCTGTATCAGACAGATCGGGGCGCAATCACGGCGAGCAACCGCAGATCTGGCTCTGGCGTGTGCTTGGTAGCAGCGCTAACGTTGATAGCCATACGCGTTGTCATAGGCACTGCGTGACCGGCCATCCATGCCCGCTGAGCACTGTTTGGTCACCGCCTGCTGGGTTTGCCGTTTGAAAATGTCACTGGCACCCAGCTGGCACTGCGCACTTTCAGCGCACCATGGGCGACGCTGGCGCTGCTCTAGTGCTCGCACTCTTCACCGTGGGGGCCAACACGCTGCCCTATAGGCATTACTGCCCCAGCTGTGCTTGACTGGCGGCGCCAGACCGCAGCCACGCGGGTGATGTGACTCACGCCGTCTCCAGCCACCTGGACATCCATTACATTGCCGTCGCCCGCGCAAACCCGCTGAGCGCGGCTGCTAGCCACCTACATGCTTGCGCGGCGTCGTTGCCGAGAGCCCGGCCCCCCACAAAAAAACGGCATCAAACAACGCATATCAGGACACGTTTGTTTTCAAAGGCGCGAAAGGCTGGGATGAGGGGCGGCGGTGCGCCGGCGCGCATGTATTGGCCGGCGCCATGCCCCCCGGTGCCCCATCCTAGTGTATAGCTGTGCGTCGGCGCATTGTGCGGTGATGCTTGATGGATGGCGGGTGCCGATCGGCGCGCGCGAAGCCGCCCGCACGCGGAGGGAGTTGCATGGAGCGGGGTCGTTTGAAAAAGGCGGCCACACAAAACTCGGCCGGCGTCAACTGCAACACAAGGGCAACACGAACGGCGCTCCCTCACCATAAAAAGCAAAGGGTGAGATCACTACAACACATGTTCAAACTGGGCGCCCGTGGGCAGGCAAGGCCGGGCTGGCTGCCCCGCGCCGCGCTGCGCCGCGCAGCGGCGCGTGCGCTGCGGCCGCTGCGCAGGCCGCGGGCGGCGCAGGCGCAGGAATGGAGATATTCCCGGCGTGCGGTGGGCACCCTCAGCACTGGCCGGCGGTCGCGTGCCGCAGGCGCTGGCCTGCAGAGCGGGTGGGCGCGCGCCCGGCGGCCGCCGACGTCGGGGCGCGCATGGCGGCCGGGGCGCGCAGCCGCACTCCAAGGGAACGGCCACACGCGCTCTCCTCGGCCCCCAAGAAGAAGACGGGGCGACGTGCTGCGCGGCGCGTGCTCACAAGCCCCACGCGCCGTGCAGCCTTATGCGACCGGGCGCGCCGTGGGCCGCGCCTGCTGTCAAAACGTCTCGAACCCTCTCCCAATCCGGCCCCGGAACCCCTGTCCCCAAGGGAAAAAACGGCGCTCCCGTCAGAAGTTGTCAAAACCGGCGCCGCCCTGCTGCGCGCCCGCCTTGCCGCCGCCGTCCACGGCGCCGGGCGCGGCCGGCGGCGCCGCGGTCTTCCGCGGCACGTAGGGGGGGGTCTGCTGCCGCAGCAGCGCCCAGTTGATGCCCTCGAAGAAGGGGTGCGCCTTAATCTCCTCCGCGCCCGCGCGGGTGCCGAGCTGTGTGTGTGGG